ATGGGAATGGGAAAATTAGGGAAAAAAGTCGTTCCCGCAGGACACTACCTTACACTCTAGTTTGTTTTCCTTATGAATATTTCTTGAATAAGATATCTATAGCTTTTCTATTTAGTAATAACTTCACGGTTTATCACGAAAAATTCAATCATTATATCCATAAAGCTGCATATTTTCGTTTTTTCTCAAAATTATGAAAACTTTCGCAGACAACTATTACTGTTCAACACGTAATCGATCAATTTTTGAAAATTTCATTCATAACTAGTTAAATAATGTCTGAATCAGAAATTTATGTGCAGATGAAGACAACTATTAGTCAGTTTAAAAATTAATAAATTAGTTCAATTTTCTCATATTTTTCAGTTTATACAAGATGTAACAGACAAGAGCATTTTTTTATCATACTATTCTGTCACAATCTATCATGCTAGATAATGCATGTTCATTAAATTCATATTAGTTATTCAATAGTCTAAGTATTAACGCAGTTAATATTCAAATGCTTATATAACCAAACTTATATTGACAAATTTCAATACTATGCGACAACAGTACGTATTTTTACGTATAATGCAACAAATATAAAAGCTGTAGAATACAAATATCTTTAAGTCATTTATCACAACATACAGCTATTCGTGATATTGTTGACAAACTTTTTGTCGAAAATTGGCAAATCAACTTTTTATATTCTATTTTCTATCAGCTTTGTGCTCCTCTACAACTATTACTCTAAAATTTATTACTCCATATCAAATCCACATGTGTTTCACAATAAAAATCTATTGTCATAAAAATAATGTTGTCTTAAGTGCCTGACTTTATCCAATCGCATAGACTGTTTTTATTTATTCACTTTCAATACAAATCATTAATAAAGAAAAATATTAATTACATGGGCAAAGAGAGGTATACAATTGTATGCTTTACTATTACAATTGTGCACAAGATAAATTCTATTCAGACTGAAACTATCTTGAGGATGTGGGTGTGGCTGCGGGTCTCTTTACTCACACCCACACCCACACCCACCCACACCCACACCTATACTCACACCCACACCCACCCACACCCTTATCAAATTTGAATTGACCTAATGGTATAACACTTGGAGCTGTTTGTTGTTTTGCACCAGATTCAATACACATAATAGTAGACATTAGGAAATTTGTTGATGTTCCAATCGTGATACCGTCCATATTATGTTTAATATGTATTTTTTTGATTGTCAGTATTATCTAAGACAGATGGACCGCTGTGAATTAATAGTTTAACAGCATCATTTATGTGTAGATATGCACCTGTATATAAAAAACAATAAATGACATTATGTATCGAATAATGACGACACTAATGAAACCCGTTTCAACTAGAAAACGCTTCAAAATATATTCTTATTGGTCGTTATTTTGCTCTTTCTGCATCCCTCTCTTATTTCTATTTTGTAGAATATTTCCTTGTATAATATAACTTTGCATTATACAGCTTATATATATATATCACACTTCTTTTTATTTTCTAATTGATTCGATTACTTCTTCAAAGACAGTCAACCGCTATGTTTCAAAAAATTATTCGTTATCATCATCACGTGCAAAGAAAAGAATAGTAAAGTAAAGGAGTTTTCATTTACAGCTAACTCTGGTACCACTGAAACTTTTCTATAAGAGAAACTCTTCTTTCTTTCAAAAAATGAAAATGAGTCTTCCTCAATCAACATAATTTAAGTTCGGGAGGTTGGAACATTACGAAATAATCTTGTAGTCCATACTGTCTTGTGTATAGAAAAAAAAATCAACGTTTGATGAAAATATAAGATTTGCTCTTGTTTTATTTTATTCTTTTGACAGGAACGTTTCTTTTATAGGAAGGTTTCAATATTGTCCGAGTACAATAAATTGCAAATGCAAAATTCTTTTCTTTTCTTCATATGTGATGTTGATAAGAAGAGTATTTTTTTTAAACATAGTGGTTGATTGTCTTTGAAGAAGTAATCAAATCAATTAGAAAATAAAAAGAACTTCGATATATACACAATCGATCTAATGCGAAGTTATATTATACAAGGAAATTTTATAATAGAGATGAGCGACTGGCCAAACGGAATATATTTTAAAACTTCTCTAAGCTCACCTTGGTCACATTTCTTAATTGGAATTTTTTTGTTTAATGTAGTTCTCAATCTTTTTAAATGACATAGTGTTGGGCATGAGCCATATATTGATTCCAACTGGTTTAAAATTCTAATAGCTTCATCAGTGATGTTATATTTGTCTTTGAATTTCATGAATTGTAACAGCTTCACATCTGATAGTAAAACATTGTCAGGAGACTCTTTGTCGTCATATTCTTCTGAGAATTCATAATACGCCATATAATCATATTGTATTTTTATTAATTTCGATCGATCAGGTAAACTGTATGTAAAATGCAATAATTTGTATAATAAATATTATCTTTCTTTAGAATCGCAAGACTTTTACTCAAGAACAGATGCATCATCAAAACAAGTAGAACGAGCATCAGTAGCGACTGATTGAATTCTTTTGATACGTTTTCGTGCTTCACAATAATTACTTTGACAAGTACGTTTTGGCTGAACCACTTTTGGAAAACCAGCAACAATCTTTACAAAGAAAGGCTTTTAACTTTGGATTCCAGCTTCAAGTTAATTCTGTTGAAGTATTAGTACTTACACTTGACGGTACAAATGTTGAATTATTAAAATTGATTAGGCTTGTATTAAGATCATTTTGTTTAAATACCTTGTCGTTCACCTGTAAGTGAAGATTCTAGACTTATGGATTACTTGTTAGCTATGAAATATTATAAATTGCTCTTTTACCTTCCCGTTTTTTAATTGCAACTGTCATCAAGTTACTTTCATGGTGATACGATTCTATTTTATGATGACCAGCTTTGATTTTGGCTTTGTTTTTCAAAATATTTAACTAAAATAATAAAACTGCTTCATAACAGAATTTCAAAAAGGATGTGATGAATGAATAATGTGAATATACTATTGAACAGTGCTCAAATCCAAGATAGACAAAAATAGAAGTAGAAGAGAGGAAAAATGGAAATTGACATACTTTTCTTTGAATTTCTTTCTTCAAATCAGTTTCAGAAAATTCACCGGTGTTTGGTACAATTGATCGAAACTTTGCAAGTATGAGAGGTATTACACCATTGTTTAATCGTGGATTATTCTGAATAATATCTCTAATATCAATGTCAACAGTGAGAGTATCTTGAAAAATTATTCTACTGATTATGTCTAGCTTTTTATCAGATGAAATGTGCCTTCTCATAGTTTATGTATATTTAAGAACAATTTCTGAAGATAAACGGTATTTCTTATTCTTAATTATTCCTATGCGTAACATGTACAACTTGTTTCACTTGTTAATTGTCCGTGTAAACGTTTTTTTTTGGAGACACGTGACTAGATGGGTGTTGCAAGCTTGGCTGATACCCCAGTATTGATTTTTTTATCTATGCATAAGGAAGATCTGATTTTTTTACCATTTATACTACATATATAATGCTATTCATCTATCACTATTCATAACCTATATATCACTATAAATGATAATTATTCAGTACATCTTTGTATTCATTGTGTTACGCGTGCTTCGTATCATCTACGTTAATCTATGCCATTTCTACTAAGAGGTCCGAGACATAACCAAAGGTGAGTATACAGTTTCATAAATGGTTAATAAGAAAACACAACTTACCATTTTGTTCATCTACGAATGGGATGTTTATTTAAGTTCAAATTACATAAAGCATCAGTAACCTGTGTGATTTTAGTTATTTTATGAAGACCATGAACAGTTCCTCTGTAAACATTAACAAGAATAGCTGTTAGGAACGACACCTTTCTCTATGTTTTCTTTTCTTTCATATTACTTTTGTTAGTGGTCTTTCTTCTCCTTTTCTCTTTGATATTATATATGTGCGTGCACAACTATTGTATGACGGACATTTTTGTTTATTTCTTAATAAATATAGAAAGGTCAACTTATTGTTGAATCGAACTCCAAGTGCAAATCGATATCTAACAAGTGGTGACAGCGGTGTCTTTCTTATTAAGAAAACGGTCCCGTGATTTTACATTTATTTAAAATAATTTTGGAAACATCCTTTCTTAAGGATTGTCTCTGTCAACGAATACTTAATTAGTTAAAGGAACTGCCTTTTCTTTGGGTATGTGTCCTTGATGAATAGTAACACTCGTTCACATTTGAATTTACGAAAACATCACATTTCTGATTTATTATATTGTTCTCCTCCCAGAATACGTAGTGATTCTCATTCTGTTTGTGAACAGTCAAGAATTCGTTTATTATCTCAACAAAATTCATTAACAATTATGTCAACATCTCAACCAACCTCCGAATTAGTTGAAGAACAAAAAACTTGTGGTCATATGCCTCAGTTGGATATCAAATTAAATTTACAATTATTAAGAGAGCAAGAAAAGATGGCTCTACAATCTATTAAGAACTTAACTGAAGAAGAAATGATTCATATTGATCAATGGTTATCTGTATTACATAAAACATACGAAGATTGGGAATATCCATCATCGCATCGTGTATTTCAAGCAGTTACATATTTTAATGATGAACAAAAATTATGGTATGAACAGATAAAATCTGAAATTAATAATGATTGGTCATGCTTTTGCGATCGTTTAAAACAACATATTCAAGATCGTCAGAAGGTTCAAATTCATTCTTCACCAATGAATTATCCATTATCTGATACTAATGAAATAACATCGATGGAAAATCTTATTGACACAAAATTTATTAAATATTCTGGTATAGGTGATGCCAAGGTTTGGCTATTACAAACAATGAATCAATTTAAACAATATGGATTACGTCGTCTTGAACAATTTCAATCTATACCATTTTTATTAATTGATGAAGCGTATTTGTGGTACGTAGAACATATTGATTTAATCACCAATTTTGAATCGTTTAGTAAATTATTTCTTCAACAATATTCATTTACATTACCACCAGCACCAAATAATATTCTTACTGATGTGGATATACCGTCAAATTTAATTTCTAGCTCTTCATCTACATCACATTTACAACGAACAATTGCCGATGAAATTATTAAAAAACCAACATATTTTCGTGGTTCAAAAGATGACGTTCATGAATGGTTAGAAAAATTAGAACAACGTTTTCAAATGGCAAAATGGAATAATGAACAAAAATTACAATATATTTCAATCCATTTACAAGATGATGCATATCGATGGTGGACACAAACATCTACGACGATTAAATCATGGTCATTATTTACTGAAGCTGTTACAAAGGCTTTTGGATCAACAAAGGTACAAGAATTAGCTTTTGAACAACTAAAATGGTACAAACAAACGGTTAATCAATCTATTACACAATATTATGATAAAATTATTGAATTATGTAAGAAAGTTGATCTTGTTATGCCTGATTCATTAAAATTAAAATATTTGATGGCTGGTATAAAAGAATCATTAAAAATACATGTTGCATTACAGGATCCAAAAACACCAGATGCATTTTTATCGATTGCTAGAAAAGTTGAAGATACATTAACATTAACAAGTACAAACAATGAAGTGCAACAAAATAACATTAATACAGGGTGTCTCATAAGTTGTGGCAGATTTTTTTAAATCTAATTTTTGATGATAATGAATACAAATCAAACTCAAACTTACACGTATCATACAACTTAACATGTACTTTTATTTCATATATTTTATTTGAATTTAATCATTGGATATACAAAAAAATAAAGAAATTGGTACATGTGCAAAATAAGCACACCATCAATGTGTTACAATATATATACCCCGACAAAAGTTTCACTCTGTATTTCTCATATATTGTCACTATAAAAATAAGTTATTTTAAAACTAATTACATATTCTGAAAGCTCGCGGAGTTTTCTATCATTCTGTAGAATTCGGTTTTAGTTTTGACCTTTTCATTACCAAAATAAATTGAAGACAACGAAGGCACCCTCATGTCCAGATTCCCAGACTTGATCTTTCCTTCGTCATCAAAACTAGTTTTAAAAATTTTTCATCCGTATAGAATGATCTGTATGAAAAAGTAACTATAGATTCTGATAGAGCTTAAAATTCTCTATCACCCTGTCTATTTACTTATTTTCTTGCGTTTATAGATTGAAATAAAATTGAATACAATGAATATACTCCGAATCGACTAGCCCAAAAAATTTGCATTTTTTTTCGCTACTTAAATTTAAGACACTGTATTAATACATAATATCATAGAGCATTTCAAGTGCTATCAGAATGTGTGATTTCTTTTGTAAAAACTTACTCCCATAGGAATAGTAATTGGAGAAAAAACTAACAAAGTAGCGAAAAAATGCAGACTTTTGATATTTGTCAATGGAGGGTATGTTCATTGAATTTGTTTATTTTCTTGTATATTCAATGATCTAATCCAAATAAAATATATGAAATAAAAGTACATGCTAAGCCGTGTCATATGTATAAGTTTGAGTTTAATTTGTATTCATTATCATCAAAAATTAGATTTAAAAAAATCTGCCACAACTTATGAGACACCCTGTATCAATGCTGCTACATTTAAAAAACCATCAACACGACCAAATATTTCACAGAAATCTATTAATAAAACTCGCCATAATACTTCTCAACATTTACAATCACAATCATATCGGAAACATCATCAACATAATGCACAAAATTCGAACCATCAGATTCGGAATTATGATCCTACAAGATATCCACAATATGCATCGCAATCAAATAATTGTTATAAATGTGGTACTCCTGGACACTATGCTCGGGATTGTACCCGTACCCATTTCGGGTAAAGGAGGCAATGATCGGTGGTGTTGCTTCCAATACTTTATATAACAATCCATCGACACCAAATACATCTCTACTATATCTTAATGTTATTGTAAATAATAAAAAAATGAAGGTGATGATTGATACAGGTGCAAATCGATCTTTTATTTCAATTAAAGCAGTAGATCCATCTTATGGTAAGCACCTTGTTAATAAATCACATAGTCGTATAATTTTAGCTGATGGTCATACATCTCTTTCTGTTTTTGGTACAATGACTTTATCTATTACAATGGGTGATATGTTAACTTCTATTAAAGCATTTGTTGGTAAAGAATTATGTGCTGATTGTATTTTAGGCATGGATTTCATTAATAAATATAAATTAATTATTAATACAGAAGAACAAATAGTTTCAATTAGTGATGATTATAAACGAACAAAATTGAAATTTGCTATTAATAAAAACGATATAAGATATCCTGCACGTTTAATTAATAATGTTCGGGTTCCACCAAAGCAAACAGTAACAGTTCCTGTATCGGTAGAATTATCGTCAGCTCAAGTATTATTTCGTCCATCTTTTAAATTACAACAACGATCACCTGTCGTTATGTTAAATTCTGCATTAACTATTCATCATCATACATCATTTATTTCACTTCATAATCCAACACCTTACTCATATTCTTTACCAAGAGGAATTATTTTGGGAACAACAACTATTCCCACATTGTCTTTTAAAAGAAATTCAACTACTGATCATCAAATCGTACATAAGAACATTAATAATTTAATTCGACATATTGATAATCCTGAACAACAAGATAGGGTAAAAACTCTTCTTAATCAATATGCAAAATTATTTGACACAAGTAAATTAACAGTTGCTAGTAATGTAACACCTCATGCTATTAAAACGCTTGACCATCCTCCACCAGTATCTAAACCATATTATTCTACTCCAAGTAAACAAGAAGAAATGTATAAAATAGTACAAGAATTATTGCATTTTGGATTAATTCGTCCATCTGATTCTCCATATGCAGCACCAGCATTACTGGTAGCTAAGCAAGATGGTACATGGAGAATGGTAGTTGATTATAAGAAATTAAATAATATTACTATTAAAGATAATCATCCATTACCTAATATGGAACAAGCAATACAATCATTAGGTGGTGGCTATAATTTTTTTTCTAAACTTGATATGAAGAGTGGATTTTGGCAACTTCCAATTAAAGAAGAAGACAAATTTAAAACTGCATTTATTACTCCAGACGGTCTCTTCGAATGGAATGTGCTGGCTCAAGGTCTTAAGAATAGTCCACCATCTTTTCAACGAGTAATGACTGATATATTATCACCATGTCGACAATTTTCATTGGTTTATATTGATGATATCGTGGTGTATTCTCGTTCATTTGAAGAACATCTCAATCATCTTGCACAAGTATTAGCTGCTTTATCAAAACATAATTTTCAACTTAATCCGGTCAAATGTAATATTTTTCATCAACATATTGATTATCTATCTCATACGATATCTGAATTTGGTATTAAACCTAATAATGAAAAAATTCAAGCAATTATTAAATTGAGGGAACCTTCTAAATTAGCAGAAGCAAATAAGTTCCTGGGTTCTATTTCATGGTACCGAAAATTTATTCCTCAATTCGCTACAGTTGCAGCACCCATCCATCGAGTAACAAATTTGACCAAACCAAATCGAAGACAATTTGTTTGGGGTGAGGCACAACAACAAGCATTTTTACAATTAAAAGCATTATTAATTAAATCCCCATTATTTCTTAATTTTCCAAATGATAATTATCCACTTATACTGACAACCGATGCATCGAAAGTGGGTATAGGTGGTACATTACAACAAAATATTGATGGTGAAATTAAAAATTTATATTATCATTCTCAAGTTACATCTCCTACTCAACGACGATATGATCCTATTGAATTAGAAGCATTAGCTATATGGTTATGCTTTCAACGAATGCGATCTTATTTACTTGGAAGATCTATTATAATTTATACTGATCATTGTCCCTTATGCAAAATGATGAATTCATCGGTAAAAAATCGACGAGTAGATCGAATTTCTATTTTATTGCAAGAATATAACATTGAAAAAATTATTCATATTAAAGGTCAACACAATTGTTTAGCTGATTATTTATCTCGTCATCCAATACAAAATGATGAAGAAATATTTGATGAAGATTATGGCATAAACATGTTATTTCAATGGGAACCACCAGAAATGGTGCATGTTCCTGAAAACAATTCTCAAATTGTTGGTGCTGTTGTTACACGTTCCAAGATGAAACAAATAGCACAACGACAAGATCAAATTCATGTAACTATACCATCAATTACAAATGATAAATCATCTTCATCAAGTCAAGAAAAAATTGAACACTCAGATGAAGTTACGTCAGATTTAATTACATCTAATAATTTTGATATAACTCAAATCAAAATTGAACAAGCAAAAGATCCAGTTATTCAAAATAAACTTAAAGAAATTATGAAAGATTCAACAAAACATTCTTATGTATTTAAAGATGGCATATTATACAAGTTGGCATTAATGCGTAGTAATTCCACTACAAAAACAAAATTAATTTATTTACCATCATCTATGATTAACTCCCTCCTTCAATTCTACCATAATGATCCACTTAGTGGTCATTTTGGCGTTCGACGTACATATTTAAAGATCAAAAATAAATTTTGGTGGCCAAAAATGAAACAATCGATTAGCAAATATATACAATCGTGTTTACCTTGCCAACAATACAATATTAATCGATCAAAGAAACCAGGACAACTTTTTCCAATTCCAGTGCCAGAAGGACCGTTCCAGTTAATTGGTATCGATTATTGTGGACCGTTTAAGAAAACACCACGTGGTAATTTATATGTGTTATGCATCACGGATTATTTTACACGATGAGTGACAGCAATTGCTTTACCCGATTGCTCAGCACAGACTACAGCACAAGCATTATTCCAGGAATATATTTGCCGATATGGTGTACCAAAATCTATTTTATCAGATCAAGGTACACACTTCAAGAACCAGTTAATGGAAGCAATGGCAAAATTAATTGGTTATAACCATATTTTTTCAAGTGTTTACCATCCACAGACTAATGGAATGGTTGAACGTTTCAATGCAACATTTGTTCCCCAAATTGCAAAACTTCAAGATCGTGAAAATAACAATTGGGACGAATTTTTATTACCAGTAGTATTCGCTTACAATACTGGAATTCATGCAACAACTGGTTATTCACCATTTCAATTACAATATGGCTGTGATCCACATTTACCTACAGATGAACCTTCAACATCGTTCACCTTTAACAAACCGCAAGATTATTATGAACAATTAAAAAAGAATCTACTGATATTCCAACGACAAACACGTGATAATGTTAATAGCCGACAACAACGATACAAGCATCGCTATGATAAACAACGTGCAGATCCACATTATGAAATTAATGATTTAGTATTGATTAAAATTCATGGAACAAAAACGAAATTAGATCCAAAATATTCAATTACATCTAAAGTGATTATTAAAAAACACCATCCAATTTATTGGGTTAAAGATGAAGATACGCAGGTCGAATCGAGAGTGCATGTCAGTGATATTCGACCTATATTCATTTCCAAAACAATATAAAATATTAATGTTTATTTTTTGTTAATGATCAATTAATGTTAATGTATATGTTTTGTTATGATATAATGGTTGATGTTTGACTATGTTTGGCGTATGCGCAACGACTTTCATGGGACAACATTGATTCATTAATGTGTGGAAAAATTGATATTTTAATATGCGCGCATTAATTATCAATAGTTATCATCATTCCCATATGGATAGCATTATCAAAAATTGATTATTACAAAAATTGACATTATATTACATGTCAGGAAACTCCTCTTTAGGGATGTTTCTGTTCTGATTATTCCTTATGAATTTTTTTTTTCTTAACTGTATATTGTATAAAATGTGCTTTCATCCGTGAGTGATATCTATACATTGATTTATCGATGGGATTATTGCTATGAACCAATAAGATGTTATATGTTATTTTTATTTTATTTATGTTCATTTTGTTTATTTTATTTCTCTTTCTAGTCATTACTATGTCAGATAAAATTATTCCACATTATTTACGTGATATTGATGATAACTCAAATGGTCGTGAACAGTATCAACAACAACAACATATACAAAAATTAACCAAGGCTGAAGAAAATTTTCAATTACGACAACAATATCCACAATTTGTTGTACCACCATCTATGTACAAAGTGATTCATGTCAACAACTATACATCAATGGAAGAAATGCATTTATTGATCAATCATGTACAAGCATGTACTCAATTTACCATCGATACAGAATCCGAAAGATCAAATAATCAATTGGCATTAATACAAATACAAACTATACCACCTCGATTACCATCATTAGTTGTATTAGTTGAATTGGCACATTTACCATCAAATCATTTAAATACGTACGTTAAAATTAAAGAATTTTTTGATTTAGTATTTAGATCTGGTAATGAATTATTTTCGTGGGGCGAAATGGAAAAAGAACTTGATCCAATACAAGATTATCATTTATTAAATTGGCCAACAACAGCATCATTAATCAACATACAATTATATTTTCCGGATTGGTATGAGTGGGCACTGGCTCATTGTGAGTCATGTAGCCCGGATCATCATCGTCAACATCCTGATGTTATTAATTATGATAATGTTACTACACAAAATTATTCATTATCAAGGTGTATTTGTCATGAACAAAGTCCATACCGCACAAATGAAAAATGGGCTCTTCAGAAGGCCTTAAGCTATGCAGCACACATGTTCATCGACAAATCGAGTACGGTTAATAATTGGGCTGCAGGTTTAACATCCAATAATTCAACATTATCATATGGTCGAAGAAAAAAAATGATTAATTATGCTATTTACGATTGCTTTTCAACAACATATCTTATTCGACCGGTTTTAGAATATTGGACATTCAAACAATTAAATGATATCAATATTGTTGAATTATTTACATCATTTAAAGCATTATCACTTCCAAAAATTAATTCATCAAATAAAAAAAGTAAAAAAATTAAAAAAAATATTAATTTACAAAAATTATTTAATTCAAATGATGATGATTTACAACCAATATCAGATGATGAAATTTATCTCAATCAACTCATTGCACCAGCTACGAACGAGCAACTCGAAAAAGAAAAAATCTCAAATTATGAACAAAAATATACTGGTCAAAATTTGGTCAATGATGCCGAATTAATTATTAATGAAGAAAATGAATTTATTATTGATGATAATGAACGAAATAAACCACCTGAAGATGTTAAAGAAAAACCAACAAAATCAAAACATATACCACATCGTTTACGGTCACAAGCATCACGACAACGAAGAAACAAAAAAAGAAATACTACACACCGTATTCGTCGTTATCATTATCATATTACCCGGTCTATGTATTATAAATTCAATGCACCATTAGCGAAGAAAATACTTAAACAACATGATGTTAAATATGTACATGTGAAGGTGGTTGATGGAACATTAGTTATTGGTGTAAAGAACAACATGATGAAACAAAAATATCAAGATCAGATACCAGAAAATATGTTTGATCGAAAACATTATCAAACTTATCAACATCGTCATCAACATCACCATCAATATCATTATCAACATCGTTATCACCATCACTATCAATATCGTCATCAACATCACCAGCAATATCATCATCAACATCATCATGAACAGTAAGACAACAAAAAATAGTAAAACGAAAGTTTTTTTCTGTTCATTTGTTGTTATTTTTTTACATCTATAACTATTATATCTATTTTTTTTCTTTTTCTATGTGATATGCTGAACTTGTTCTTTCACTTACTGATATAGTCATATTAGATTTTTTTTCTCTCTTCTCTTTCTTCTTTTGAAGTTTTTTCTTTTTCTCTCGTTCACATCTTTATATAAGTAAAAAGCTAAAAGTATTTTGTAAACAAAAAACTTTTCTTGTAAGGGGAAGGGTGTTAGGAACGACATCTTTCTCTATGTTTTCTTTTCTTTCATATTACTTTTGTTAGTGGTCTTTCTTCTCCTTTTCTCTTTGATATTATATATGTGCGTGCACAACTATTGTATGACGGACATTTTTGTTTATTTCTTAATAAATATAGAAAGGTCAACTTATTGTTGAATCGAACTCCAAGTGCAAATCGATATCTAACAATAGCATAACTTTTGAGACTTTGATTAATATTTTCAATCGCTGCTCTTGCACTATTAATGTCGCGATTGAAATCTTTGTCTTCTTCTGTTAGCTCACATCCACGAGGTTTCTTTCTTGGAGTGACTACATATTCTTCACCGATATATCCTTTGTCACCAATAATTTGTACAGACTCTTCGACATGTTCTAATAAACCTGATTCTCGAAGAATTGTTATATCATGTATACTTCCATGGTAACATTCGGATACATGCACGATTCGATGACGAAAATCACAAGCTACTTGTACTTATATTCCATAATTTGTTGAACTTTTTGCATAATGATATTTTTTACGTTGTTCTGAATCATGTGGTTGAGGAATTGCAACACAAGTCGAGTCAACAGTTAATTTATGGTGTTCTTTTGTTGGGTAGATCAGCAGGTAAAGAAACGAATGCTGGATACACAAACGAATGTAAAATATCCACTACTGCTGATAAGAAGTAGTTCACTCCTTGATGAGTAAAATTCAATTCTGAAGCAATGTAGGGTTCACAATGATAATGTTTTAAAAAACCATAAGGTAACCACAAGCAAATTCATGGGAGATAAATCGGATGTGGTGGCACTGGATGCATGTAACTTGTTTCTATGAGAACAATAACCTATTAATGGTTCTTCACACGTGGAATATAATTCTTGTACTTGTTCAACGTCATGCCCAGTATGCTCTATACAAGATGCATCAGTATGTTTCCATTCTGACCATGGACGTTGATCTAGAATATAGAAAAAAGTGTTTCATAATGATTCATTTTGACTACTAGTATATAAGCGGATAATGAGCTAGGAAGCGCATGCATAAGTCGAAAAAGTTAATGTTACTTACTATCATTTAAAATTCGAAAATGTTGTTGATTGGCAACTTTCTTCTCTTCCAATTTTCCTTCTCTTTCTTCTTCAAATTCTGGTGTACAATAACTAAGTACAATTGTTAGGATGACGATAATAATTCGTGTACAAACCAGATTTTCCCGAACTAGTGCATGTCCAAGTTAGCATCGAACCACAATCAGCACAATATTTTCGACGATCAGTTGGAACAGATTCACATTTAGCACAACGCCATCCAATTTGTGGAGAAAACATAATTCACGTGTCCTATGTATGTGTTCTTGGTAGAAAGTGTCGTAGAGAATGGAAACCAAAGAAAAGTGGAAAAATCACAGCTAGAACAAGAATGAATTAATTTGACTATATCGCTAGTACAGAAGGGATAAAATATATACCGATCACAAGATGTAAGCAAATACGACGTGAAGCATGTGTAACACAATGAATACAAAGATGTACTGAATAACTATCATTTATAGTGATATGTAGGTTATGAATAGTGGTAGATGAATAGCATTATATATGTAGTATAAATGGTAAAAAAATTAGAACTTCCTTATGCATAGATAAAACAATCAATACTGGGGTATCAGTCAAGCTTGCAAAGCTCATATATAATCGGTTGCTGAAAAGTAAGAGTTGAGAATAGCACATTGATTTGTATCATACAATAGATATAAGTCGATCTGTTTTTCATGACCCACACCCACACCCATCTGACCAGATAGCAGAAGGTATGGGTTTGACTCCAATGAAGGTAATCTTTTTCATCGTTCTGTCACATAACATTAGTGACACTGCTTGTCTTTCTTTCATTCTACACATATACAGCTAACCATATACTTTTCGTTCCGAGTCTATGTAATATCGCCAATCGTCAGTTTCGCCAACGGTATATTTTCCAATGGCGAATTTCCTCAGGAATTTCGCCAATTGGCGGAGTAATAATCTGACATTCGTCAATAAATGAAATAATTTTATATTACCGTGTTCGCCAATTTGGCGAACTACTAGTTGATATTCGCCAATTTTAATCATTGACTTTGCGAACTAACTGGTTTCTTAAACTACTTTTATTTAAAAAAAAGAGAGATGTACTAGTTACATACAAGAATTGAATAAGTTCATTTTTCCATATTTAATAGTGTTGGCTAATCATTTTCATCTTCATATTCGAGTAAATGATTCATTTGCAGTTGCTTGATCATTAGTCTTTTCATTCGTACTTTGTCCGACAATTTTACCAATCATTAATGATGCAGATTTTAAATATTCTTTTAAACCAATAGATTTTGAAATAAACAAATCTTCCAAATTTAATAAATGTTTTTTATTTTTGTCTGCCCTTCTTCTGGACTGCATAATTGAATAAACCAATGTACTTGATCTAATTCCACTTCCTCCACCTAAATGAGTAATTCGATGTGATACTAGTGCTTCTTCGTCCTTCAAAAAGTGCAAAAATTCCCAAATTGATGGATGTAATCCAAATCGCGTTAACAATCGAAAATTATATCCTAAAGACATAAAAAGTAAATAAATAGAAGACAGAATTATTATTAAAATGTTTACCTTCTAAAGAGTTATTTGTTTTCATGTCATTATTGCCATGGTGCCATAAATCAATAGATGTACGTTTAATATATTCTTTTTCAAAATACCTCAGGAACTTACGATATTTATAATCATTTGAAGGAATTGTATCTTTCAATAACTGTAAACCATTATCTATTAATCCTCTTAAAATCAATGGTAAAGCCATATATTGTTTGAACCATGTATTAACCAATGGATCTGTTTCATATGAAGCAGTACGGCCAAGTTTCTGAATTTTTCGCCATAAAGCTTGAACAAAATGGTACCAACAACATTTAACATGAACGTTTGGAAACTAAACATAAAGAATAAAATAAATTCTATGCATCGTGAAACATTTGAATTATACTTACCGCTTGAAGACAAGCATTGATCATGGCTAGGGATGTGCAGTTTCGGTGAAAACAATGAATTACTGACAGTGATACCACTGCACTGAGCGCACTGACTGCAGTGACACACTGACACTGATGTTCAGTGAATCAGTACATACACTGACACTGGCGTTCACTGAATCAGTACATACACTGACACTGGCGTTCACTGAATCAGTACATACACTGACACTGACTGCTTCGGTTGCAGTGTCTGCACCGACATGGTGTTCACTGAATCACTGCATACACTGACACTGATTGCACTGGTTCCACTGTCTGCACCGACATTGGTGTTCACTGAG